AGAAAATGCCAAGGGTAAGAGAGCCACACTGCAATGTTAAGGAGAGTGTCAGAGAAGGGGAGAGAGGAGGGCATGTAGCTGTGTATCCAGTACTGAAAACGAAGGCTTCTGTCTTCAGAGTAGAGCATAGAAAGAGATGGATGAAACGGTGGGCTGAGGAAGGCTGACAGTGTGTTTCTGAGGTAAGCGTGCTGCTCAGATTAAACTTCATTTGGCAGTTCCTGCTGTTTACTTGGACAGTGATGTCTGAGTAAGTTATTTATTATTTCTATCCCTTGACATTCTGATTAGCTCATCAGCAATCAGTCACTATTCACAGCTCTTCAATTGCTTTTATTAAATAGCGATTCCCTCCTCCACCCCACTTCACCAGATTATTCAAGTTTAGGGAAGAGTAGTGTTTTGCCCCAGGCATTTCATCCCCCAGATGAAATGTAGTTGCGCTGCTACAAGATTCAGAATGAATCATGGACTCTTAAGACAAACTTTCTGTGGTTTCTAGGGACGTGGACGGTATGCCATCCACCTTTGGATTGACTTAGGCTTTGAAGGTTGTGGAGGAGGAGCACAGAAGAATTGGTTAAACTGTGTACAGTGATGTCCTGGCTAATTGTGTGAATGTCCTCTTGGTTTGGGCTGCATAAATGCAGGATGCATGTTCTCCTTTGCTTTTGTGTTTATGAATTAGAGCAAAACTCTCACCCAGATATCAGTGTGACATAGATTCTCATGAGCCTGGTGAGCACAGGTAGTGAGTGCTCTTCCTTTTAAGATTTCTGAGGACCGTCAAAGAACCAGTCTACACAAGTTGACATTTCTTTGCACATTAGCATTAATCTTAAAAAGTTGCACATAGGATAGATATTTTACAATTTGAGGCATATTTTTCCATCCTAAGGAAATTCTTTCTCATGGAAAAAATGCATTTGTCCTTTTCTAATGAAAATTAAACTCTAAAATGCTAGTCCTTTTCAATGAGTACGCTGTACTTGGCAATGTACAGGTTACAGTAATTTTCTGCACAGGAAGCTGGTCAAGTGGATCCATGATCTTGGACACACAATTAAAAACAAATGGCTATTTCTGTATCATGGAGATTTCTTCCTCAGTGCATGGGACTTGAATGTTTAAGTAGCCACATCATCGGCCTCATGTCTTGCCTTTGGTGACATTGCCTGGTGAGTAAAACCATAACAAATTTTCCTTTTATTTAGATTCATTGGACTTCATTCTTCTGTGGTCAAAGCAGGACTTCAGATGGATCGATACAAACTTTTGAAAAAGGAATGTGCTTGAAAGCAATACTGGCCTTAAAACAGAGCAGCCTCTATGGGATGCGTTTAAACTATCCTGCCCTGCCTCTATTTTTTTTTTTAACAGTTGAAACACTAATCCAATTTGTTTTTTGAATCCTACAAAAGCCAGCTAAACAGCCCTTAAACATTAGAACTAAAAAGTAGCAGTGATACATTGGTTTACCAGCCGAGGACGTGCGGGGTAGCATGAACTCTTATGCTGGGTTAGTCAGGATCTAACATTTTAGTAAGAGACTAAGACAGAAATCCCATAGACTTAATGTTGCCCTAGAAAATCCTTTAAATCATTCTAAAAGGACAATATGTGTAGTTTTGTGCCTATAGCTCTGAGCAGTAATTCTTAGGCCCAGCATTGTCTGAGCACCACTGAACTGGAATAAAGGCAGGAGCAGCAGGAGCTGCCCGGCCTCGGCGTGTTCCTCCTTTAAGGCAACTCCCCGGTCTGTGGAGGAAGGGAGAACTCTAGCATGCGTGCTCGCCTGCAGGCTGTACTTCATTCTGCTTTAAGACTAAGCCTCCATGATCAGACGAGCTGATAGATTCATTGGTTTTGTGAGACTTGACTTATTTAGACAGCATGTGTGAAAGCACCTTACTCAGGACCTGGCCATGGGAAGCAATTAAATCTAAATGTTGCTCAAAAGATCTGCATATACATGTTCTTTGGAAAACCGTGAAGAATTTGGCCGCCTGCTTCAGGTCTTTCTAGGTTGGACTTTCCCACCACCCAGCAGTGTGTGGTGTGCTTTGCACAGTGGCCATGTCTGCAGGTCAGTTGGTGTTGGAAGAGGAAGGATGTTCAGTCTAAGGTCAGTCCTACACGTGGTACATGTAATGCGACTCAGATGAATATCCTGTATTCCTTTGGGCTCTGTAGGCCTTCTCCCAGTCTTCTGAGATTAATAGTTGTATATGAGAATCACCTGTTAAAACTGTATAACCCTCTGCCTAAACTCTCGATGGTGGAGTCATGAGTATGCATTTAAAATTTTTTTATTATGTATATTAAGTGTTATTGTTCTAACAAAATGTTTTATTATGTTTTTTTTGGTTTATGTGTGAAGGTGTGTTTTTAAGGAGCCACCAGGTGATTCTATATCACCAGCATGCTGTCTTTGGAACCTAGCCATCAGGAGAACCCTGGGATGGGCTGTCACAAGAGACTGTTAACATTTCTGATTCTGTTTTAGCTTAAATTATTAGGAAAATGCCTGATGCATTATTCATCTAGATTTGAAAGTACATAATTTCAGTTACTGAATGAGTTAATCATTTATTGGACAAGTCATTCATAAGATTAGTTGTTTAGTAGCTGAAACTAGTCTACTTAATTTGGCATCTTAAAAAATTTAAATACAAATTAGTTTATTTTGGGGCGTGCTAGGGCCTTTTGATTTTTTACTCCCTGATATCACTGAAATCATCACTTGAGGTTTTGTTTGTTGTTAATAACCTGGGTTTTAAAAAATCATTTTTAATTGGTATGGATACTTAGTTGTATATATTTATGGGGTACCTATGACATTTTGATACAAGAATACAATATGTAATGACCAAATTAATAAACCAGGTTTTTGCTGTCTAAGGCAATGTATGCCTGTAGTCCCAGCTACATGGGAGGCTGAGGCAGGGAGCACACTTGAGCCCAGAAGTTTGATTCTAGCCTGGGCAACATAGTGAGACCTTGTCTATAAAGAAAAACAAAAAAAAAGAAAAACGGTTTAAGACACTCTGAGTTTTTAATTGTGTTTTTTTTTCATTTTAGAAGGGAACTTGGGATTTTTAATAATTTAGTTTAAGTTGAAAATTTTGCTGAAAATTCTGTTTGAAAGGAAAATATGCATTTCTTCTCTGGTTTATTAGAGTGGGAGCCTACTTGCTGTTTTTGTGTCCAGTTGTGTCCCTCCTTCCTCACACAGGGAGGGTTTGCTGTATACGCTCGCACCTACCCGTCTTGCCTTTCCTGGACTGTGTCTCACCCCATATGCTCCTATTCTGTGTCTTCAGTTTCTTTCTGTCCCCTTGCACCTTCTCCTCGATTTATGGATACGACACGTCTCCCTGTACTGAAGTGACCAGGCCCTTTCTCCACCCAGCTGCTCGTCAGCACCTCACTCAGTCCTTCTGCCTTCCGCTTCTGGCCAGCGTTCTCAGGAGATTAACTGTATTTGCTGCATCCATGTCTTGACCTTTTGCAGCTTGGCTCCTGCTCTCCCCACGTTATTGGAACTCCACTTTCAAGGAGTCACCGGGAACGTCTCACTTTTCAAATCACACTCATCCTCTCTGACTGACCTTTTTGCAGTAAGTGAGGATGTTGCTCACATTTCCCTTCCTGACGTCTCTCTTCCATGGGCTCATGGGACACTTCAGACTCCGCTGTCCGCTCTCTGTGGCCATCTCTTCTGTCTTTGCTGAGTTGTCCTCTGCTTTGGATACGCCAGTGTATTTGTTAACATGTTCTTTTGCCTTTGCTGCCCCTCCTTTTTTGTGCATGCTTTCTTACTGCATTTCAGGTCCAGGAGCTAGAAGAAATCCATGGGGAGCTCCTGCGGGATTCTTGGGATGAGCTGAACCCAGGAGGAACCTACTTGAGATGGCCAAAGGATGGGAGAATAGGACAGAGAGCCAATGGTAGTCAGAAACATGGTGCCTAGGTAGATCAAGTCTGAAAGGTAGGGGGAAACTTAGAGAGTTGCCAGTAGACTGGCCATTTGACTGATGAAAAACAGAATGGACGACTGGGCCAAGAACATGAATGTGCCTGTGTCCATATCATTTTCCACGTGAGGGCCTAGTGAGTGTGTTTCTGGGGGCCTGGGATCTCCAAGGCACTGCAGTGGGGCTGTGGCTTCAGCAGTAATTTCCTTGGATAAAAGCTTCATGTCTATATCTGAAGCCCTGTTGCATTTGGTTGTGAACCAGAGCTCAGTTTCTGAATCCTCTTCTCAGGCAGTTTCACCTGGATATCCAGCTGGTACCCTACGTTTGGCATATCCCAAGTTAAACTCTCCAACTTCCTCCTGAAACCGACTTCTCTCCTGAGGTTCACAGTGTATTGCCACTCTGTGTCATTCTAGATCAAGCTGTCTTTGGCTCTTCTTTCAGCCTGACACCAAGCCATTTGAAAAAGTCTTCTTGGTGTCACCTCCATGGTGTCTTGTGACAGTGGTGCCTTTTCCTTCCCTCTGTTCCACCTTGACTGCTACCCTGCTCTCTTGCTACAGCCCTTACTTAATATTCCTGAGCCCCAGTCCTGTTCACCGCTGCCAGTGCAAACAAAACTCAACTGCGAATTTAAAAGATACTTGAAACCTGATGCAGCCAGAGATGATGGCTTTCCCCTGGGTATTCTTGTAGTACTTAAGCTTTCTACCATTGTGTGTGTGTGTGAGAGAGTGTGTGTGAGTGTGTGTAAATACTATTATATACTACACATATCTGAATTGTTAATCCCAATAGAGTGTAAGCTCCTTGGGAAGCAGGAACTATCTTGTTTACTCTCATATATTGCTCTCCATATATTTTTGGTATTGATACACAACAAATATTTGCTGACTGGAATTGAACAGCTAGCTGGGCTGGAAAAAATCTGATCCCAGGTAATGGTAGCTGATCTGTGATGGTCTTTTGAATTTGACGTTAATTTCATTTTCTTGTGCATTTATTTTGTTCTGAAAAGCTTTTTTATTAAGCTGTGCTGATGGCATAAATGGAACAGTTAACTGGAAGACCAAACAGACCAACAGTTATATTATCAGCAGAAAAATGGCTGCTGGGAAGAAAGATGGTGAGTTTAGGTGGAAAATCTACATCCCTTTTGGGGAATCAGTTACGTACCCGCTTCCAATTTTTTTTTTTTTCTTTTTTCATCACATGTGGCTTTTATTTTGATAAATCAATTTGGAAAAATAAAATTTTGTTTTCCTAATCTTCTAAAACCTCTGATCCTCTGTGTTCTTAATTCATTATTTTCCATGTTATTTTTTCTTTGCTGTAGCTTTGCCCTAAAAAAAACCCTAAAAACAATTGCTATGTTTTTAACCTGTTATTGTCGTTACCCAGACACTAGGTTGCCACTTTAAAAAATTGTCCTAGTGTGGCTACTATTGCAAGTTATTTACAATATTGAAAAACATTAAGAAGTATATTTAACGTGCATCATTTTAAAACAGTATTTATATAACCCTAGAAAATAGTCATAAAATATTTTGGCTAATTTTGGGTGATTTTTGTTGCAAAACAAAATTGATATGTTTTGCGGTTAAATACTTACTTGGTGCTTGTTTTCCATTGGAAAGATGATTTGACCTGTGAAATGATTGATCAGTCCTTCTGAATGTTTCTTCTCTATCTATAAATAGGTCCATCAGCAATAGTCCAGGACCTTTGAAATAATGCAGTTTATCGGCAAAAAAGGCCTTATTTGCCAGTCACAATATTAGTTGTTTTCAAAACATCAATTACCATTATAGACTTTCACTTACTGTTTCTTGAATTTTTTTTTGGGGGGAGGCTTTATTTCTGTATATGGTCATGAACATTGGCTAAATAGTGGAGTGGTTTCTCTAACTGTGGGGCAGCCATGTTGTTTATAAAAATAACAATAACATTAAGATATTTTCAGAAGAAGAGTGATTTACTGTCAGATGGAGCCTGCTGGGTGCTTCTGGAAGGAATTCCTGGCTTACCTCATTTTCTCATGCATCTCTGAAGTTGGGGGTCACTAGCTTCTTTACAGCTGGTGTCAAATTACCCTTTAGCTGGACTCTTCCACCCCCAGATCTGCCTGGACAGTGAGGACAGTGTTTCCCATCACCTTTTCTTCCTGTCTTTGAAACAAGCCCACAAACACTTGTGCATTTTTAAGGCATTTCCATTGTTCATATCTATAAGAAAACATAGTTTTAAAACAATAACTTTGCAGCAAAGCAGAAATGTGTTTTAAGAAGCACTAGATACGTCTGTTCCAGGATCTGTGCCCAGGGTCTTGGAGTCTTTTCCCCATATCTCTTCAGATATTCCCAGAAGATTCCCTGGTCTTTTCAAGGGACTCACCCTGATGACCCTCATCTGACTGGTCTCCTGGGCGAGCTGAGGGCATCTGCATCCTTGGCACACTGTGCTTTCTGTTTTCTAGTCTTTTCTGAGTGTGAATCCCAGGTGTCCTTTCCTTTGCAGTCTGCTCTGTGCTTCTGTCCTGTCATCTTCAGAGGTCTTGGGACATGCCCTGCCTCACAGCACCCCACAGGTCCCCTGAGACCCACCCTCTGTACTTCATGCCATTCTTCATGATGTTGCAGCTATTCTTTCCCTTTTCTTCAGTTCTTTGACTTTGACCCCTAGAATCTTTATCCTTCCTGAGCATGTCTCTCCTGCCAGTTTGCCAAAAGATACACCCCCAAGTCACCCACTATGGTGCCGTTCTTAGGGAAATGCATTTCAGACCTTGACATGGGGCATCTTCTAGAACAGGGAGTCCAACTTGTAGGTGTGGACTGATACCAGTCTGTGGCCTGTTAGGAACAGGGCCACACAGCGAGAGGTGAGCAGTGGGTGAGCAACTGAAGCTTCATCTGTATTTACAACCGTTCCCCATCACTTGAATTGCCACCTGAGCTCCATCTTCTGTCTGATCATCAGTGGCATTAGATTCTCATAGGAGTGCAAACCCTATTGTGAACTGCACATGAAAGTGATCTAGGTTATGGCTCCTTATGAGAATCTAATGCCTAGTGAGCCCCACCCCTGAGCTCATCCATGGAAAAATGGTCGTCCATGAAACTAGTCTCTGATGCCAAAAAGACTGGGGGGCGCTGATCTAGACTCTCCAAAAGATAGGTCTCTTCCTGTTTCAGGCTTCAAGCTCCCAGTGGATCTCAGCCGGGTTTATTCCTTGGGACCGGAGAGAGAACTATAGTTTTCAAACGAGAAATAATCAATCCACTTTGAATCTACTGAGGTAGCAGTTCAGGTTATTACGGTCTCATATTGCCTCAGTTTCTCCTGATCTCATCCTTCAGATTCTTGTCCCTTCTTGGTTCCCTCATCCTATTTGTATCCTATCATGGTAGTACTATATGACCAAAATACGTATGCAGATAGCATTACGTTTCATCAACTGTATGAGGAGTATCGTTTCATCACTTCTAAAATTGTAATAAGTACTCATAGCTTGTATTGCAAGACATTTTAAAATGCTATCTCAGATATCAAATGTTCTTTGAGATGTTCTTGACCATGAACTCCAGTCATCTCTTTTTGACAATTTCAAGAGAGCACAAAAGATTATAAGAGCATTTATATAGTAAAATAAATTTAGTATTTGTATTTTTTCTGTCACCTTCTTTATAAGTGATATCCCAGTTCTTAACTAAAGCAGTAGGATGGTATATCTTCCATAAGTAGGATTCTGAGGAATTTGAATGCCTCAGACCAACACATTTGATATAATTCTACCTCAAAACACAGTAAGCATTTACAAAAGTCATAAAGAATGCTCTAAATATGCAAACCCTTTTCTTTTTTTCCCCCTCTGGGGTGAAGGCAGGGGAACTTAAAATGTTAAAATAATTTAAATAAAAAGAAAGTAAGCCTTGACGTTGTTCATGCTTACTTCACTTAGATAAACATCTTCAAGTCTTCCTTTTTCACTTTTTTTTTTTTTTTTGAGTTGGAGTCTCACTCTGTCACCCAGACTGGAGTGCAGTGGCCGCTTCCGGCCACCGCAGCCTCGACCTGCTGGGCTCCGGCGATCCTTCCGCCTCAGCCTTCCCAGTAGCCGGAATTACAGGCATGCGCTACCACATCTGGCTATTTTTTGATTTATTGTAGAGATGAGGTCTCCCTGCCCAGGCGGGTCTCAAACCCGCGGGCTCAGGCAATCCACTCACCTCAGCCTCCCAGAGGCGCGGGATTACAGGCTGAGCCACCGAGCCCGGCTTCCTTTTTCACTTTTAACAACACACATTTTAAAATGGGTTAGCCTTAGGTTTGCTGAATAAACTTTCATGGTGTTTTTCATAAGAAACTAAGATGAAGTTCAAATAATTGTGTCCTGATTTTCTAATTATTTTAAAGTTCAATGTTAAACTTTACTAAATGATCATAGAAATGAGGTAAGATGTACTCTGGGTAACTTGGTAGTATTCTCTTCCACCATCTTCAAGGAGGTACTCCTTGCCTTACTGGTAATCAAAAGACTTCATGGTTTGAAGATTGAGTATCTCTCTAGATGACTGCTTTTTCCCCTTGGTTGGAGAGAAACAGACAGTGTCCCTAGGGCCGAAAATAGCCATTCTTTTTGCCTCTCAAGGGTGGCAGAGCCATAGGAAGGACCACAAAGTTCCAGGACTTTAAAGGACCATCTCCAAGAGGTGAAAGTTTCTCTTCTTGAGCTTGGGCTGTGAGGGCTGAAATGGCTCCTCTTCTGATCTCTGGGTATGCTGCTTTCTTTAAATGTGAGCTTGTTTGAAATTGAGAAAGTCAACTCACTTCTTCCAGTTAAAGCTTGGGTTATCTGGTCAAATTCTGGTTCCTCATAAAACAGAGAGCTAATTAAGTTGTTGTACGACCTTTTAAGCTTGCAGGAGTGGTATGTGATAATGAAATGCACAACCACCAACTACATGAACTTGAGTTTTCAAATCAATAAAATAGATGACTGTCCTGACTCCAGTCCCGCCTCTTCCTCTTGCTAGATCCTACAGGCTTGACAGCCCCCCTGGTTCAGTTTTGTCATCTGTAAAATAGATGACCCTCCAGAAGAGCAAGTACATGCCAACTCTTATAGGTGGGGACTGTCAGGGTTGAGCAGAAGGCAGAGGCCACGTCCAGGTAGGACGTGGTGCTGTGATCTATCCCTAAGCAGAGCAAGTTATTTGGCATGTCCAGGCAGGATGGTATCTAAAGCTCTTCTCAACTTTAGCGTTCCAGGAGACTAAACTTATTGATCACTAATTAACAATGGTTTGCAACCTCATTCCAACTGACATTTAAGAAAAAACAGACAAACATGCAATCACATAATGATTAAGCTATTCAATTTCAGTTTGGGGAAATTAAAACTTTGGTTGAAAAAAAAATCTTATTAAGAAACTCTTCTGCTTTTTTTATAGAAAAAGATCCAAGTAATGGTTTCTCTCCTTACCTCCTGTGAGAAAAAATAGCCATATTTCTTAGAGAAATGACGGCTACAGAGGCACTGTATGCCTTCCCTGTGTGATGAACTCCTCAGCCGAGGTGTGGACTACCTGAATCTGAAACAGAATAATAACTGTCCACCACCAAGGGAGGGTCCTGCAGCACTTTGACATTGAGTCAACTCAGAGGTGGAGGGCAGACTGCAGAGAAAGCTTGTGATTCGAAGCCAGGATTGATAAAACTGGTTGATGAGACACAAGGTAAAGCTTGGTGAGAGAAAAAAACCAAAAACAGACTGTGAACCTGACTGGATAGTAATGTCTCTTCAAATATTTTTCGATAGCAATTATCCAATTATCTGGTTTAATAACTAAATTTCAATTTGACTATAGTAATAACATGTCTAAACTAAGTTAGGAAGGAATTCATAACACATCAGGCTCTGGAAACCTTGAATGAGCTCTTTTGATGCGAAGATGGCAGATGGACTGGGTCTGCTGTGGTTAATTCCTCTGAAAGGGTGGCATCTTCTTGGATTGCAGAGTATCTGGAGACTGAGTCCCATGAAGAGTTTTTAGATGTTAAAACTGTAAAATATAAGACAAGATGTATTATTTTTTCTCTGATTTTTAATTATCAGAGGTGATC